TAGATCATTATTGCCAAACAAGCGACTGGCGGGCCAAAACCACGTGGGCCGAAGCCTCAGGATGAGGATGACGAAGGCATGACCTAATTGCTCGAAAGCATCTCATTTTTTCCTTGCGACCTCTATCTTAGTCACTCTGTTTGCAAAAGTTCTCTCATTTGCAAAATGGTTTTAATCTCTTGTATCTCGGTGTGGAATACACATCTATGTGCTTTTATGTATCGATTGTTTAGTGCAAAACATCATCGCACATTCTCTCTTTCTGCAAGGTTTGAGCTTTTTGAAGTCGTGATTATGAGCCGCCTTTGCAGTCAGAAAAATCGCGTAACATTCTTGTTGTTTTTTTTTTTGTTACACATCGCGTCCAGTTGTTGATTTAGCTTAATAAAATGTTTAGCCTTAATTTAACTTCTCATTGCTCAAATGTTATATGCATATCTGGTACTTTCCTAGTCTCAATCTTTAATTGAAAGGGGAGAGGGGAGGGTGTAAAATCTAATGTTTTTTATATGGCGAAGGTAAATATTCTTTTATTGAAGAATACTCTTCAGCAAATGCCGATCTTTTGAAGTCAAAGGATGCATTGATATTTGGCAGAAAAACGTTATTTCAGGGTTTTTTTTTTGCTCTCATATTTAGCCATGTTCCTGCTTGCGGAAAAAATTCTTGCCAAATTCCAGCTTACAAATTGTTCCGGTTGCTCTACAATTCCTTTGAAGATCATCCTTGTACGACCTAACGTATTTTTTAATCGTGGAATTTTGAAGAAAATTTTATCTTGAAGGTATTTCAGCTCCTAGTGAGGCCAACACAACCTTTCAAATTCTAACAATCCGATTCACAAAACTTTACTCCCCGTCATTTGGTCCACCATTCGTCTGTTTTGTATGTCTGTTAGTTCTTTTTCCAGGAGTGTGAGGATAGGCAGAAGAAATCAGCATCATTAGCTCTAGGTCGAGAAATTTTGCAAAAATGTCAGACGAAGATGCAGGTGTAGCTGCCGAGGTCGGAACGATTATGTCCAAGGAAGCAGACCATAAGTCACAGTATGAAAAGTATGCCGGTTTGAATCCCGTTCTAACTGTTTTTTTCTTTTGGATTTTTGTCTTGGGTTCCCACCTCACTCACTCTAGGAGGTCATAGAATAAACGTTAAGGCTGCTGGCTCTTATGGAAAAACTCTTTCCAAAACGAATTACAGTTGAGGCGGATGTCATACCATTAGTAACGTTGATGAAAACCGGTTAGTTTTCAGGGG